AATAAATGATAAATGTTTTCACATATTTGTCATATAAATTGCAGATAGAATTTTAAAAAGAAAGCAGAAATGGCTTTAGTCCTATTATCTAATGAGAATATTTTATTTCCTGAGGTTGTTTGTATATTCTATTAAATGTAGTCATAAAATTTTTTTGTTTTGTTTTTTTTATGCTACACTAGGGGCCCAGTGCACTTTGAAAGGAACTGTGGGCCCTGAGGCTGCGGTGGGCACAGGGGTGGGTCTTGGCCCAACCTCCGCGCCTCTGCCTGGCTCCTCCCACCATGGCCCCAGGTCCGCTGTCTGCTAGCAGCCCCGCTCTCACCTGCTGATAGCAGAGAGTGATTGGGGCCGGCGCAAGCGCCCACAGTGGATGTGAACAGCAGCTCTGGCGTCAGCAGTAGGAACCGGGGTGCATAGGAGCAAAGAATTTTCAGTAACCACCAGAGGCTTGCCCCAATGACAGCGACTGGCACCCCACCTTGGTCTGGCACCCCCACTCACCTGCTCCACCCCTCCCCCCCGTGGCTGATGCCCGCCATGTTCCACATTCTGCCGCCTGCTGCCAACACCCACCATGTTCCGCATGCCACCCCTGGTGGTCAGCGCACGTCATAGTGACTGGTTGTTTGGTTGTTCTGCTGTTTGGTCCATTTGCATATTAGCCTTTTATTATATAGGATTAACTTCACTTTCTGATAATATAGTTTGAAAATTTTTCTTAAAATTGAAGCAAATATATTTATATTTTTCACATTCAGATATTTCATAGTTAGCTAGTCTAGTACTGTAATTCATGATGCTTATTTCAATACTAGTTGTCTCTACTTCCATGTCCCCATTTACTCTGTAGTCCATTGGTATACTTTCCTGCCTCATCATGTCATCAAAACTATCCTCTTAAAGATCACAAACAGCAACCTATTAAAACCAATAGATAATATTTTGTACAACTCATTAGCTTATATTTCTCTTTCTCCTTTTCACTTTTAATAAATCCTGTTGAGTCTACCATCCTACTATCTTTAAAAGTATACCCTTCTCAGTCATAATGGACTTAATCATGCTCAAAAACAACTTTCAAATCTCCATGGCTTAACACACTGGATATTTGTGACTTGCACCCTGCTTCTATTGTGAGTTGGCAGGAGACTGTTCATAGTAGTCACTCAAAGAACAAAGCAATGGGTATCCATGATGCTTAGTACTGCCTATCATTGGGCCAAAAGGAACGAGAGCTCTAGAAATTTTGCATCAGCTATTAAGGCTTAAGTCCACAGATGACAAGCATCACAATTTATTGGCCAGATCATGCAACTGGAAAAATAATAAAGAAGTCATTAAAGATAATTTTACATGGCATTTTCTCGATCCTGGTTGATTAATCCAAGGACAGTTAGATGAGTGGAACAAATCAGGAGAAAGATGGAAAGAAAAGATCTTAGTAATTATAATAGAAGTCAAAACATATCATTTTATTTCACTGTATGTTGTTAAACAAAAAAGTTTAAAAAAACATAAAAAACAAAAAACTAATTTAATCAAATCTAAAAGACTAAAGAATAATATTATGTCTAAATATGAAAATGACAGCAGAGGGAACAATAGTGCAGTGTTCTCTTTTCTGTCAATACCTCAGATTTAAGAAAATGAATTTGCTCTTTCACAGTTAAAACTAGTAAAATCCAGACATAATGATAAAATTAGCATCGAGGAATTTAGAAAGAAAGAAAAATGAACAAGACACTTGGATACATCAACCTGATTTCAATCTAGAAAGCAGACATTTTCTATTGGCCCCTGTTTGAAGAAAACTGAGTGTGAACATAAAGATGTAGTCAGCTGCTCTACAGCATAAAGGTGAGAAGTTCAAAGACTCAGAGGTAAGAATGTATATCAAACATTGTCTAATGAAAATAAAAATAAGTCCTTAGAAAAAAATATATTTATGTTTCTGAAGAGGTCTGTTCAGTTGTCTGATTCTTCAAGGCCTCATTCAATCTGTATGAAATACCCATATCCATAAAACTTTCTACCAAAGAATTTAAAGAGAAGCAAATGCCTCTAAAACATGAGAAGGTCTTCAAGCTCACTTAGAGAAATTCAGTTGAAATCGACACTAATACATTGTTTTCATATCCACTGATTGGAAAAAGTATAAAATTTGACAATACTCTTTAATGGTTTGGCAAAAGGGAAAATGAAAGTCCCATGTATTATTTGAAATAGTATAAACTGAAACAACCACAGAAAGACAGTAAGGTGACTTTTTTTCAAAGCTGTAACATACTGTGACCCAGCAATCCTCTGGGAATTTATGTTACTGATTTAATTGACATGTGCTAAATTATATATAAATTGCAATATAGTTTGTCATAACAAAAGTTAGAAACAACGCAAATGCCCCAGTTAGAGGTACTGATCAAATTAACTATTAGATATAGATACATATGGATAGAGATAGGCGTATGTGTATATATGTTTAAACAGTATGGTTTTGGTATAAAGACAGACATACAAATCAATGGAACAGAACAGACAGCCCAGAAATAAACCCACACATACATGGCCCATTATCTTATGATAAAGGAGCCAACAATATATAATTAGGAAAGGGAAATCTCTTCAACAACGATACTGGGGAAGTAGAGAGCCACCCGCAAGTGAATGAAACTGAACCACTATCTTAAACCATATAAAACAACTAACTAGAAACGAATTAAAGACTTGAATGTAAGACCTGAAGCCATAAAACTTCTAGAACATATAGGCAATAAGCTCCTTCACACAGGTCTTGACAATGATATTTTTTAAAAATCAAAAGCAAAGGCAACAAAAGCAAAACTAATAAGTGGGACTACATCACATTAAAACATTTTTGTACAACAAAGGAAACCATCAGCAAAATTAAAAGGCAACCTACTGAATGGAAAAAAATATTTGCAAATTATATTTCTGAAAATAAGTTAATAGCTGAAATATATGAATAACTCATAGAACTCAAAAGCAAAAAATAAACAATCCTATTTAAACATGTACAGAGAATTTGAACAAACATTTTTTTTCCAAAGAAGATATACAGATGGCCAACAGGTTCATAAAAAAGTTCAACATCACTAATCATCAATAAAATGCAAATCAAAGGCAATGAGATATCAGCTCACACTTGTTAGACTGTCTAGTATCAAAAATAAAAGAAATAACAATTATCAGCAAGAGTGTGGAGGAAAAGGAATCCTTGTTGGATTGACTGGAATATAAATTGGTGCAGCCACTATAGAAAACAGTATGGCATTTTCTCAAAAAGTTCAAAATAGAACTACCGTGTGGTCTGAATATTCACTGAAGGAAAATAAGAATACTAACTCAAAAATATATGTGCACCCTCATGTTCACTGAAGCATTACTTTCAATTGCCAAGATATAAAAACAACCTAAGTGTCCATCAACAGATGAGTGGATAAATAAGATGTGGTGTATATATGCAATGGAATTTTATTCAGCCATGAAAAGAATAAAATCTTGCCATTTGTCATAACAAGGATGGACAATGAGGGCATTATACTAAGAAAAATAAGTCAGACAGAGAAAGACAGATATTATATTACCTCATTTATATGTGTAGAATCAAAACAAAACAAGCTCATAGATAGAGAACAGATGGTGATTGCCAGAGGCAGGAGGTGGAGGGTGGGAAAAATGGGTGAAGGGAATCAAAATGTACCAACTTCATGAGGATGCATGAGGACACCCCCTAGCTGGTGTGACTCGGTTGTTTGAGCATCATCCCTTGCACCAAAAGGTTGCTGGTCCAATTCTTGGTCAGGGCACATGCCTGGGTTGCAGGTTCCAACACCAGCAGGGGGCATGCAAGAGGCAGCTGCTCTCACATGGATGTTTCTCTTTCTCTCTCTCTCTCCCTTTCTGTCTCTAAAAATCAATAAAAATATGTATTTTTCAATGAACCAACTTCTGGTTATGAAATAAATAAGTTATGGTAATGTAATGTACAACATGATGACTATAGTAAATAATATTAAATCCCATATTTGAACATTGCTAATGGAATGAATCTTAAGTTCTTATCACCAGAAAAAAAATTGTAACTACGTATAGTGATGGATGTTAACTAGAATTATTGTGTGATCATTTTGCAATATATACACATATCAAATCATTATTCTGTACATCCAAAACATGTAATGTTTATAAATTATACCTCAAGAAAAAAGGAACCTTTATAATTGATAATATGAAAATATTTTTAAGATCTATTGTTAAAAGAAAAATACAAGAAATAGTCTCTAGTATGTAACCTTTTGTATATAAATATGGAAAAGATTATGCATATGCATTTTTCTGTATTTACATAAAGAAAAAAATGGTGAAAATCAAATAGATATATTGACTTTAATGTCCATGACTGACATAGAGACTTCACAGATCATGAATAGAAACTGATCGGACTAGTGCTCTCCTGTTAATGACCTGCTCAGTTATTAATTCCATCCCTGTAAAGTCTCTGCCTGGAAGAGCGCCACATTTGTGAGCAGTCTTAACGTCTGACAAACAAGATGTTGGAAAACAACTGCGCTTCATTTCAGAGCCAGGGAAAATCACATTCATTTAGTGGGCAGCTGTGATGTGGGTGATACCAAAAACTGCACATAAGAAATGAGGCCTAGAAATCATTCTCCCTGAATTTCAGAGACTGAGGGAAAAGTCAAGGAGCAGGAAAATGGTGCAAAGACAAACAGAAGAAAATATAGGAATCAATGAAAGAGAGAACATTTTTCTTCTATACTGTAAGAAATACATTGCCAGACCCATTACAAAACATTGGTTAGCTGATCACTTAGAATTCATCATCTTCAAGAGGAAAGATGGTGAAAACTGTTGCATACTCAACATCTATTGGGAAACACGGGACTTGGTTGGAAAGTCTGTAAGGATTCTCTGAAATTCGGGGGCATCTTAGTGGCCCTTGCCAAAGGTGGCAGCCCCTGCCTTGACTTTTCCAAACAAATCCGAGCCCCTGGGAGTTTTACTGGAATCTCTGTTTAGTCTCTACATCCAACCTCATAAAAGCATGTGCTTTCTCAAGGATACTTATCCTGCTGATAGTACCTAGAGCAGCAGTTCTCAACCTGTGGGTCGCAACCCCTTTGGGACCCTTTCACAGGGGTCGCCTAAGACCATTGGAAAACACATATATAATTACATATTGTTTTTGTGATTAATCACTATGCTTTAATTATGTTCAATTTGTAACAATGAAAATACATCCTGCATATCAGATATTTACATTATGATTCATAACAGTAGCAAAATTACAGTTATGAAGTAGCAATGAAAATAATTTTATGGTTGGGGGTCACCACAACATGAGGAACTGTATTAAAGGGTCGCGGCATTAGGAAGGTTGAGAACCACTGATCTAGAGGTTAACTTTAGTTCAAGCTGTTGCTACAATAAAAGCCTAAGGAGGCAGGCAAATGGGGCAGCCTGGTTCCTTTAGCCAGGCAGTCCCTTAGCCCTCTCTTTCACTGAAACATGTGTCAGAGTAATCATTCATCTGTCACTCAGAGTCTGCTGGTCAGCCCCGGCAAACATCTGTTTGGGTATTAATTGGTATATAATAATTTTTAAAACATAAACTTTAATATTTACAAAAGTTAAATGCATGATAAATGAGGTAAAATGAGGGAAGGCCAATTAATTGGTGAATGCAAATCCCTAGGGACATACGTATGACTGAGAAAGGATGGAGACAAAGACTGTAATTAACTGGACGATTATTGGACAGAGAGATTAATTTAGCACTGGTAAATGTTTCATGTCACCTTGCATGGTCCCTAGCACATAACTTAATAAATGTGCTTAATAACATGCTTAATAAATGTGTTCAGTTGCAAGCACAGAGGACTGTTTTAATTATTTATGTTTGCCTTAGAAGCACCATTTCTTTACTCATCAGTTGCATTCATCAGAGTTCATAATAGACTACAAATACAGGTCAGTAAGTGCTATAAACTATTGTGCAATATATATATAGTGGGAGGACTACTATTGCATTAGTTTAGCTTTGGAAACTATTAAGTATCAGTTAGTGGAAGAGAAAAGGTAGAAATAAATGACCCATAATAATTAGCAAGAAAAGCCTTGACTTCTAACACATGAGATGTTTGGATAAGAGCAGTGTGGAAAACAAACATTTCATAAGCATTCTTCCCCTCTTATCTCCTGGCTTTGAATCATAGGGACACCACCATGATCTACCAACATGAAAAAGGGCCAGAACGCTGCTCAAACCATCTGGTCCCCCACAGTGTGGGGAAGGCTGGTATCTTCTCCCCCACCTAAGCAATCAACTGAATAGGCTGCCTTCTCCATACATAACTCAACATAAAAAAAATATTTGACTGGCCAAAACCGGTTTGGCTCAGTGGATAGAGCATTGGCCTGTGGACTGGAAGGTCCCAGGTTCAATTCCGGTCAAGGGTATGTACCTGGGTTGCGGGCACATCCCCAGTAGGAGATGTGCAGGAGGCGGCTGATCGATGTTTCTCTCTCATCGATGTTTCTGACTCTCTATCTCTCTCCCTTCTTCTCTGTAAAAAATAAAAAAAATATATTTTTTAAAAAAATATTTGACTGTGTAAAGTCCAAATAAGTTCTAGTTTTTCCTAAAATGACTAATACTTTCACCGTTAAAAATATTTCCCATTTTTGTTTAAGTACTCTTCCTTTAGTATCTTAAAATATATCTAGTCCACCTAGTATAAACAGAATTGCTTAAATCCCTCTCTCTCTCTCTCTCTCTCTCTCTCTCTCTCTCTCTCTTTCTCTCTCTCTCTCTCTTTTTCTCTCATTCTGTATATGTCTGTAAATCTAAGAAAACAGATATAAAGGAAAGAAGGAAAAACAATACACAGATTTTTAAAAGCCTGAGCTTCCACAACAAGCCTGCATTCCTTCTAAAGAGCATTGTGGTAAAAGTTGAGAAAAGCTAAGAAAATTAATTAGGCTCTTTGGAATTCTAATAAAAGATGAAGTTAAATGAAAATGAGGAAAGTTATAGCACTTCAAAAATTCACTTTTCATTTTAGTAAATTTCCTATTTAATTGGAAAATTAACAGTGTTAAAAATAATAAAATTGTTTAGTATCTTTACTGGTAGAAGAAATTATATAAATTTTCAACATATCAAGCAAGAAAATTATCTTTTCCATCCAAAGCCCACACTAAGTTCATATAAGATTTATTTATTATACTTCTTACATTTAACTGAACAAACATGTGCCTTAAGATTTGACCCTCAGCTGTATTAGCATATTTTTACTACCACTCCTTCACCACTAAAATAGCATTTGATCTAGCTCATTTACCCACCTATGCTGAACAGTAGAGGATAAAGATTGTGGAATATAACTTTATTTTTTACTTATATCACATACCCAAGGCACTACATCCCATATTTATGAACATCGTAATTCCCATAAAAAGTCACTTAATCAAAGATTTCCCAAAGAGAATTAGCAATTACCACAAAAAATAATTTCTTATGAATAATTTGGGTATCAAAATGTATTCTCAAACATAATAAAGATAATAAGTCCTTTCTTATTATTCCAAATTACAAGAGGTTGTAATTTTATTTATATTTTATTATCTACCTATCTTTGTCTACTTTATTTTGCTGTGCTATTACTCATTGTCTCAATTCCCAAATATCTATGCATGATATAAAAAGAAATGTGATTTAGAGGTGGAGATGAAAACCATCTATTATTTGGTAATCGTGGTAGTCACTATTCTAAAAGCCTTCTTAACTATGAACACTCTTTCCCTCAGATCGCTAAAATGGGAGTGAAACAGTCAACATACAAACAAAAATATCTCAAAAACACAAAAATGGCAATAAATAAGAAGCATTATAATTTGTTGTACTTTTCTATATGTAGTTCTTACCTATTATACGTCCAGCTAAATAGTGCTATCAAGATCAATACATAATTAAATTTTAATTCTTGATTTTTCATTAAAATATTCCCAACTTAAATAAGATTAACTTCTATGAACATAGCAAAATTTTCTTACTGGAAAGAAAAATTTTTTATTTGAAATATATCTACTTCAGGTGAAAGCAATTCCATTTTCCTTCTAAAATATAAGGTTCAATTTTTAAGAAACAGTAAAGATATAAATGATATCTGTAATCATTTTAAAATTCAGTAAATTTTTAAAGTTTTTTAAACAAATTGTACAAAAAACAGTCACAGTATGCTGTGTAATGGCATCAAGATTGAAAAATACGTAGAAGAGAATAAAGAGTAAGAAGTTAACCCACAATTATATGGACATTTAATTTGTTATTTTGTTTTTTTTCGTTCATTTATTTTTTTTCTATAATGATTTTTCTTTATTTATTAAGGTATTACATATGTGTCCTTATTGCCCCATTGTCCCCCACATCCTCCACTCATGCCCTCACCCCCCTGGTGTCTGTGTCCATTGGTTAGGCTTATATGCATGCATACAAGTCCTTTGGTTGATCTCTCCCCCTTATCCCCACCCTCCCCTACCTTCCCTCTGAGGTTTGACTGTCTGATCGATGCTTCTCTGTCTCTGGATCTGTTTTTGTTCATCAGTTTATGTTGTTCATTATACTCCATAAATGAGTGAGATCATGTGATATTTATCTTTCTCTGACTGGCCTATTTCTCTTAGCATAATGCTCTCCAGTTCCATCCATGCTGTTGCAAATAGTAAGAATTCCTTCTTTTTTACCACAGTGTAGTATTCCATTGTGTAGATGTACCACTGTCCTTATTCACAGATGACATGATACTGTACATAGAAAAGCCTAAAGACTCCATCAAAAAATTAGTAGACTTAATAAATGAATTCGGAAATGTAGCAAGATACAAAATTAATGCCAAATAAATCTATGGCATTTCTATATACCAATAGTGAACTTACAGAAAGAGAGACAAAAAACAATCCCATTGACCATCATACAAAAAAAAAGTAAGATACCTAGGAATAAACTTAACTAAGGAGGTAAAAGATCTGTACTTGGAAAACTACAGGACACTGAAAAATAAGATAGAGAAGACATAAACAGATGGAAGAACATACGGTGTTCATGGATTGGTAGAATCAACATCATTAAAATGTCCATACTACCCAAAGCAATCTATAGATTCAGCCCCTCATTAAAATAACAACAGCATATTTCACAGACCTAGAACGAACTCTCCAAAAATTCATCTGGAATAAAAAAAAGATCACGATTAGCTGCAGCAATCCTGAGAAAGAAGAACAAAGTAGGCGGGATCTCAATACCAGATATCAAGCTGTATTACAAAGCCACTGTTCTCAAAACTGCCTGGTACTTGCACAAGAACAGATATATAGATCAATGGAATAGAATAGAGAACCCAGAAATTGACCCAAACCACTATTCTCAATTAATATTTGACAAAGGAGGCAAGAACATATACAATGGAGTCAAGACAGTCTCTTCAATAAATGGTGCTGGGAAAATTGGATAGATACATGCAAAAAAATGAAACTAGACCACCAACTTACACTATACACAAAAATAAACTCAAAATGGGTAAAGGACTTAAACATAAGGTAGGAAACCATAAAAAAAAAAAAACTAGAGGAATCCAGAGGCAGTAAAATCTCAGACATATGCAGAAGCAATTCCTTCACCAATACAGCTCCTAGGGCAATGGAAAATAAGGGAAAATAAACAAATGGGACTACATCAAAATAAAAAAAACTTTTGTACAGTAAAAGAAACCATCAACAAAACAAGAAATCCCACTGTATGGGAGAACATATTTGCCAATGTTATCACAGATAAGGGTTTAATCTCCAACATTTACAGGGAACTCATACAACTTAACAAAAGGAAGATAGACAAGCCAATCAAAAAATGGGCAAAGGACCTAAGTAGATACTTTTTGAAAGAAGACTGAAGGAAGGCCAAGAGACACATAAAACATGCTCAAAGTCACTAGTCACCCGAGAAATGCAAATCAAAAGGACAATGAGGT